CCTTCAGGTGAGGACTACGTGCAGCGTGGCAGCAGTGAGAAGGGAGCGTCTCGGAGGGAGGAAGTGGAATGCGAGGGTGGTCTCCCTGCAGGTTGGCAGGGAGGAGAGCGAAGCATGAATATAACGAGAAGGTTTGTGTATAATTAGTTCAGGGGAGAAAACCAGGAGACAGAGAAAGCTCACACCAGAGCCATCGCTTAAAGATAACTGGGCTAGGGTGGGAAGAGAAAGAACAGGTCCCCGGGAAACTTGCTGAAAGTGAGGCCTTTGGGTACAGAAGAGTGGGCAGGTTTGTAACAGCTCTTAAGGAAATTTGCTGACTTTGGGTTAGAGGGAAGGATGGCAGAGCCACATGGTGGGCCGGTGCATTTCCTGACTGCATCCAGTGGCATAGATCAAAAAGACATTGGATGTTGGATTAACCCACAATGGACGGGGGCGTTTGTCAGGTTAAGAATGGTGGGAGACCAAGGGGACAAGGAGCAACAGCATTTTTTTTTTTTTGAGACGGAGTTTCGCTCTTGTTACCCAGGCTGGAGTGCAATGGCGGGATCTCGGCTCACCGCAACCTCCACCTTCTGGGTTCAAGCAATTCTCCTGCCTCAGTCTCCCGAGTAGCTGGGATTACAGGCACGCACCACCATGCCCAGCTAATTTTTGTATTTTTAGTAGAGACGGGGTTTCACCTTGTTGACCAGGATGGTCTCGATCTGTTGACCTCGTGATCCACCCGCCTCAGCCTCCCAAAGTGCTGGGATTACAGGTGTGAGCCACCACGCCCGGCCACAACAGCATTTTTTTTTTTTTTGAAATGGAGTCTCGCTCTGTCACCAGACTGGAGTTCAGTGGCACGATCTCGGCTCACTGCAAGCAGTTCTCCTGCCTCAGCCCCCTGAATAGCTGAGACTACAGATGTGTGCCACCATGCCCAGCTAATGTTTTGTATTTTTAGTTGAGATGGGGTTTCGCTGTGTTAGCAAGGATGGTCTTGATCTCCTGACCTCCTGGGCTGCCTGCCTTGGCCTCCCAAAGTGCTGGGATTACAGGCGTGAGCCATTGCACCTCACGAAAGCATGACCTTCATCCCTGCCATAGGAAGATCTCTGGAGCGTGCTTGCTAATAAGTATCTCTGACTGCAGTGACTCACAGAAAAAACTAAGAGTTGGGTAATTGCTGGTACCTACGAGTTGAGAGTAAGGGTTGTGATTGATGCCATCGGAACTCCACAGAATGTTCTGCATGGAAGAGGTGGGGAAGGGGGAATTCGGGCAGGTAACAACCCACACTCCCATGCTCCTCTCCCAGAGCTAATCACCCAGGCAGTAGGCTCTCAGGGTTTCGGGTTGGTTCCAAAAGGAGGTAGGGCCTGGTGAGGTGGCTCATACCTGTAATCCCAGCACTTTGGGAGGCTGAGGCAGGAGGATCACTTGAACCTAAAAGTTTGACACCAGCCTGGGCAACATAGCAAGACCCCCATCTCTACCAAAAATACATAAGTGAGCCAGGCATGGTGATGCACACCTACAGTCCCAGCTACTAGGGAGGCCGAGGTGGGAGGATTGAGCCCAGGAGGTAAAGGCTGCAGTGAGCCGAGATCATGTCACTGCACTCTAGCCTGGGGGACAGAATGAGAACTTGTCTCAAAAATAAATAAAAGTTAAAAATAAATACATAAAGGGAGGTAGGCAGGATGTGGTGTAAGTGGACTGAAAGAGAGGAGATGGTACGGAGACAGCAGGGTGCAGAGTGACCAGTGGCGGTTAGGCCTTTGGTGCCTGTTGCCTGGAAGGAGGGTATGGAAATACGGGGGGTGGGGGGTGAATCTAGGCTTCAAAGTAAGGAGAGGCGGGATACTTGGACTGGACAGATTCTAAGGGAAAGACTGATTTCGCTCATGAGTTGGGGTTTTGTGATAACTGACATTGGGAAAACATGGGATTTAATGTAAGCCTTTACAGTGGCTCTAGACATTTCATAAATATTTCTTAAATGCCTCCTGAATGCTAGGATTTGGGAATACAAGCATAAACAAAACACAAAGCCAAATCCCACTGTGACAGCAGGGGTGTACAGAGTGTTTCTGTTAATGAAAAAAGTGCTGTGTGAGGATGGGGGATAAGTGGCTGGACCGTCTGTGCTCTGCGCTTTCCAGGACAGACCTGGTTATGCTGTAAGCACTCTGCCAGATGCTGCATAGGCACACTTTTTGCCCTTCAGGGGCAACTCTGAGGTGGCGAGACAGACGAGATTATTAGAATACAGGAAGTTCAGGAGGGGAGGAATGCCTGAACATGATAGAGTATTATGGTCTGAAAAAGTCAAGACCATCCTGGTGAGCACAAGCAAATGAGGCTCTTGATGCAGAGCTTGCTCTTGCAAGGGAGTCCTGCGCTCGGTGAGCACTCAGAGGCAGGCAGGGGAGTGGGAAGCTTTACAGTGGAGAAGGGGACGGCTGCAGAGGGGCTCTGATTGGAGGGTCTTGGCCTGGGGAGGCTGGAAGCTGCTGATAGAGGTGGGTGTCTTAGGTGATTGGTTTGAGGGGCGTTTGCCTATCTCTGGTTGATTCTGAGTTGGAAGAGTCCTGACCATGTGGAGCCGATTGCTGCCACGGCTGTGGTTTATGATGCAGGACAAACGAGCCCCAAATTCCGCCTTAGCCCATGAGGGTTCTTGGCTTTGCCCAGGAAAGAATTCTAGGGTGAGCCAGTGGTAGGGTGGAAGAAAACACCTTATGAAAGAGGCGGTGCGACAGCTCCGTGACTGCTCCTGTAGAGCAGGGCTACTCCATAGGCAGTGTGCTGACAGCAGCAGCTCAGGCCAGTTCTGCAGTCTGATTGATTGATTGATTTTGAGGCAGAGTCTTGCTCTGTCACCCAAACTGGAGTACAGTGGCGTGATCTCAGCTCACTGCAACCTCCGCCTTCCAGGCCAGGTTCAAGTGATTCTCCTGACTCAGCCTCCCAACTAGCTGGGATTATAGGCACCTGCCATCATGCCTGGCTAATTTTTGTGTTTTTAGTAAAGACGGGGCTTCACTGTGTTGGCCATGCTGGTCTCGAACTCCTGACCTCATGATCCACCTGCCTCGGCCTCCCAAAGTGTTGGCCACTGCACCCGGCCTGCAGTCAGATTTATACCCACTTTTAATTGCATGCAGATTAAGGGACAGTTTCTGAAGACACTTCTAGGAAAAGGATAGTGACTTCTGGGTTGTTGGATCATTGCCATGGAAAGGGGTGGTAACTCCTGGGTGTTGCCATGGCAGTGGTAAACTTGGCACACTGGTGGGCGTGTCATATGGAAGGCTGCTTAGCCCCTCACCCCACTGTTTTAGCTAGTCCTGAACTTGGTCTGCTGTCTGAGCCCGCCTCTGGAGTCGAATCTCGCCTGCTACCTCAGTTTGATTTCCTCGGATTGCTTGAACGCCATAGGATTGATAAATAATTCCTGGACTCCATAGGACTTGATGAATGATTTGAAGGGGCAGATATAAGGAGGGAAAGGGAGTTAGCCATGACATCTGGATTTTGTGGTTACGAAACTGAGAGCTGTTAATGCTATCCATAGGAGAAGCAGAGTCAATGGGAGATAGATTTAACATATGGACATGCTAAGTTTGCGCTGTTTAGGTGCCATCAGAGATGTCCTACACGCTGCTCAATTCAGTAAGTACGAATTGAGCACCTGGTATGTGCTGGGCACTATTCTAGATGCTTGAGTACATCAGAGAACACAACAAAGATCTGTCATCGTTGAGGCTTTGCTTTCAATGTGAATTTAAAAAATACTATTTATAAATTTAGAAAAGGAGGAGAGACTACGTTTCTTCTAAAGGATTACAGCATGCTTCCAGCTTAGACCAGAGACAGGCACTTCAAAGGAGAAGGGGTCGAGATAGGAGCTTTATGCTGAATGGGTTGGCTAAACATACATGTTTACCAGGTTACAAGAGGAGCTATGCATATTTATGATGGTGGACCTGACACACTGAACAAACATGCATGTAATATATGACCCATATTCACTCTGGGATAGAGACTCAACATTTGAATGCATTAGTTAGGCCGTCTATGTCAAAAGGTCTTTTCAGGATAGGAAGGCACCGGAGTGCTCAGCCTCCCACTCCGTAAACCATTCAGACCAGTCCACAGCCGGTGGTCTTATCAAGAGAAAGTGGCTGAAATCAGTCTCTTGACCAGTCAAAGCTGTGGTTATGGCTGGTGAACAGGGGCTTATTAGCAGCCTCTGGTGCAGCTGCAAGTGTTACTCTTGCTTTTCTTGAGGCCACTGCTGTTTAGCTGCTGGGGAAAAAGAAAACCCGTGTGGGAGTCAGAGCTTAGATGATTCTTTAAGTGTAGGGATGCCTGACTTCACCACTGCCTGCACGGCCTTAGGTCCGGTTTGTAATTGGGGATCTTATTTTGACAGTCTGTTCTGTTAGTCTCATGATCTCTTTGAATATTAATGCTGGTCAGTTGTGTATGAACTCCCAAAGCGGAGGTACAGTGAGGCCTGTCTGATCTGTCCCATCATGGCTGGAAACAGTTTTTAAGTTTTTTCTGGGGTTCCCTTGGCCAAGATGGGCAGTGGGAGGGGCTGAGGATTTTAATTTTAGTTTCCACTAGCAAAGGGAAACACTCTGTAATCTAATAACATAAGTTAATGATCTATTAGAATTTGGTAACTACAGAGCAGGATATGGGGATCAGCAGCGGTGGAAATGGGGGGGGAGGGCAAATAGGTGGGGCTCGATGAGATGTGGGCAGACTCGAGGAGTTAGCCCAGCAGGTATATGGGGGATAGTGCAGAAGAGTGAACAGCTAGACAGAAAGCCCTGGGTCCACGAAAATGTACAAGTTGGAGGCCCGAGAGGTAAGCTGGGTGGAAGGCTGGTGCTGCAGCCTCTCGGGACCCCCGGAGGGATTTTGGCTTTCGCCGGAGTGGAGACTCTGAACGGCTTTGTGCAGTGAGCAGACCTGACAGGTTTTAAAAGGCTTACCGGTTGCTGTGTTGTAACAGACTGCAGGAGGGCTTAGACAGCCAGTAGTTTCTAGGGCTGGAGAGACAGATCTAGGATGAGAGAAGTTTCCCCCTTCCTGTTACAGGCCCTCTAAGGCTTCAGCTCCTTTTCTAGGACTAAGAGGGATCTCAGGCAAACACTTCAGTGAGGAGGCAGCTGAAGCTCCAGGAGTGTGCAGGACTGCCTGGGGCTGGATGGGGGTGCGCGGCAGGCGACCGGGGCCGGCCGAGCTCCGGCGGCTCCCACGCTTTGGCTCTGGTGAGTTACAGTCAGAACGCCCGCCTGGTGCTGGGCCCGCCGTTTCACCGCCTTAGGCTCTACGGGGAGGGGCTGCAGATATCACCCCGCGGGCAGGAGGCAAAGAGGCCGGACACATGGGCGACTTACTGACAAAGCCTGGCGCACGCCGGCCTGTGCTGCTCACCCGATGCTGGGCCACCGCAGCGCACCCGAACCCCACTGCCGCACCACCCAACCGCCTCACGCCGGCTCCCCAAAGCCCTCGCGCTGACAGCCTGGGGCAAGTGGAGGAAAACGAAGGCCCCACCAGGGAACCAATCCGATTCGTCGGCCTCTTTCTCGTCCTCCAATGAGATTCTAGGGTGCTGTCACGCCAGGCTTCTCTTACCACTGATTGGCCTGCGTCGTCCTAGTGCGAGCGGTCCTGGCCAATCAGCGCCCGTCAGCCCACCCCGTGAGCCCGCAGGTGGCCACGCGAGCGCCCGAGGCCGGTGGAGGTGGGCGGGGAGGTGGGCGGAGAGTCCTCGTGGTGGGCCCGCCCCCTTTCAGACCGCCCCGCGCCGTGCCTCCTACCCAGGTCTGGCCTGACGGTGGGAGCCTGAAGACCGCAGAGGTGAACGCCGAGCCCGGGAGCCCGCCGCCTGCCCCAGGATGGAGTTCGTAAAGTGCCTAGGCCACCCCGAGGAGTTCTACAACCTGGTGCGCTTCCGCATCGGGGGCAAGCGGAAGGTGATGCCCAAGATGGACCAGGTGGGCCGAGCATCCCTGCATCCCTGGACTGGGAGGCCGCGCGCGGGGCCGGCGTTGGGGCCCGGATCAGGGGCGAGGGACGCGGCGAGCTGGGCCAACGCCCGGGCGTTCCGGTCCCCGTTCCCTCGGGAGGCAGAGCCTTCCACACGTCTGGCCCGGGTGAACGCGGCTCTCCCGGTGGGCCTGTCCCAGCCCCACAAGTCGCCCTGGGCCTGAGCGGCTTCTGCGGGGCTCCCAGCGGTTGTGTTCCCGGTTTCGTCCCCTCCGTGAGCCTCGGCGCTTCCCAGTGTGCTAATCCGAGGGTTACGTGGGACAGGACAAATGAGTTTTTTATGAGCAGAATCAATTATGCAAATATCATCACATGAACACAGTTTCTGTAATGAAATCTTAACCAGTTTTCGGCTTCGCCACCTCCTCCAGAACTCTCCCCACCTTGCCGCCGTCCCTCGTTCGTCCTCAGGGCTTCATTGGGTTTTAAAATCACCTGTCTACCTTTCCAAGTTCTAATCAGTCATCTGTACATCTGTGGATTAGCTGGGTAGTTGGTGGAAGGTCAGAACTTGGTTTTACTTAAGATTTAATCTGCCTTATGCCTGTACTGTTTTGTAAATGAATGCATAGGAGGTGTTTTTAGTCCAACAAGAAAATTATTCGTACGTGCTTGTTGAATGAATAGACACATTCAGCCAACTTCTAATGGTCTGGACCAGCCTGGGTGATTTCTGTGACTTTTTTGGGCCAACAGGACAGTAGCAGATGTGACTCAGGCAGAGGCTTGATAGGTGCCTGAACATCAGAGTCTTTCAATGTCCATGTGCTTCAGTAAACACACTAGAAAATACATTTCCCGTTTTATCCAATTTATTGGGTCCTGTGTGTCAAAAGGTCTTTTTACCGGACAGGAAGGCGCCTGAGTGTGCAGTCTCTGTAAACTCGGTTTTATCCAATTAGACGATGAATTGTAGACTACACCCTCATTTGGTGTTACCTTTCACATGCTATCTTTATTTCAAGTGCAGTCTTCAGCCCATTTCTAGAATATTCAGTTTTCTCCATCTTTTCTTTGCCAGTGCTACATTGTTTTAATTATTTTGCTGCAGAATAACTTTTATTATTTGACAAGGAATTAAGTGACAAGGAATATGTCACTTTTTATATATAGATGGAGCTTTCATTTATTTAACAACTATTTGACCACAGTTGTGTATCAGATACTGTTTTAGGTGCTGGGGATCCAACAGTGAACAAGATAGGTGAAGACCTTGCTTTTATGAAACGTACTTTTTAGTGGAAGAGAGAGATAATTCCAAAAAGCAAATATACAGTATTTCAGGTGGAGAAAAGCACCACAGAGGGAAATAAGAGCAGGACAGGGCAAAGGGTCTGAGTGCTGCCAGAGCTCATTTGGCTCCAGAGACTTTGTTCCTTTATGTCTCTTTCTGCAAGAAGAGACTTTAAGAAGATGGTAGCATTGGTTATGTGTTGGGAGAGTGAGTGGGTGGTCATAGTAACGGGGTAGAGAAAGACTTCACAGTACACTGTTTTTGTACCTTTTGAATTTTTTTAAAAGCGAGACGAACTATTCCTTCTAGCTCTGATAATATATCACAATATTACTTGTTTTGTTGTAGTCTCTCTGAGCACTTTTGAAATCCCCATGAGCCATTAAAAAAAGAACTGAGTGGGCTGGGCGATGTGGCTCTCTCCTGTAATCCCAGCACTCTGGGAGGTGGAGGAGGGTGGATCACCTGAGGTCGGGAGTTTGAGACCAGTCTGGCCAACATTGTGAAACCCGTCTCTACCAAAAAGAAAAAAACTAGCCGGGTGTGGTGGCGCACACCTGAAGTTCCAGCTACTTGAGAGTCTGAGGCAGAATAATCGCATCTGGGAGACAGAGGTTGCAGTGAGCTGAGATTGTGCCTCTGTTCTCCAGCCTGGATGACAGAGTGAGACTCCGTCTCAAAAAACAAAACTAGTGAACCTCTAATTAGGTGAAACAAATTGGAAAATACGTTTCCCTTCACTTAACATGATCTTAGTTTCTCTCTCTTCTTTTTTTTTTTTTTTTTTTTTTTTGGTTGTGGGGGACAGGGTCTCACTGTGTCTTCCGGCTAGAATGCTGTGGCCTGAACGTGACTCACTGCAGTCTCAGCCTCCCTGGCTCAAGCTAGCCTCCCTCAGCCTCCTGAGTAGCTGGGACTACAGGCACATGCCACCAATGCCTGGCTAATTTTAAATCTTTTTGTAGAGACAAGGTCTTGCTATCTTGCCCAGGTTGGTCTTGAACTCCTGAGCTCAAGCGATTTTCTCACCTTGACCTCAAAGTGCTGGGATTACAGGTGTGAACCACTACATCCAACCAGTTTCTCTCTACAAACTACGGAAAAAACGTACACTTAGCAGATATTGAGGGCTGCTTATTTCTATCACAGAAGGATTTGACTATAGAATTTCAGGGTTTAGTAGACTTGATTTATACTGAATTTTTAGAAGCATGTCAGTAAATTTAGGGGCATATGCCGCCTGCAAGTTGTGTGACATCACCCAAAGCCAAGTAATGGAAAAAGCAGGCTGTTTGTTAGTTTTTTGAGATGGAGTCTAGTCTTGCTCTGTTGCTAGGCTGGAGTGCAGTGGCATGATCTTGGCTCACTGCAACCTCTGCCTCCTGGGTTTAAATGATTCTCAGGCCTCAGCCCCGCGAGTAGCTGGGATTATAGGCACACACCACCATACCCGGCTTATTTCTGTATTTTTAGTAGAAATGGGGTTTCACCACATTGGCCAGAATGGTCTTGATCTTCTGACCTCATGATCCACCCACCTTGTCCTTCCAGAATGCTGGGATTACAGGCATGAGCCACCGCACCTGGCCAAAAGCAGGTGGTTTGTAATCAGGCTGATCTGGCTTCTATCAAATCTAAATCCTGTTATTTAGACTAATATCTTCTCTGAAGTCTATTATTAAGTCCAATTCCTAACTCTATTAAGTTGGTGAACAACCTTGATAACCTCTGAGCCACAGTTACTTGATCTGTAAAACAGCGATGTACAGTCACAATTTTTTTCTTGGGGTGGGGGGACAGAGTCTCGCCCGGTTGCCCAGCTGGAGTGCAGTGGCGTGATTTCAGCTCACTGCAACCTCCACCTCCCAGGTTCAAGCCATTCTCCTGCCTCAGCCTCGTGAGTAGCTGGGACTACAGGCATGCGCCACCACACCCAGCTAATTGTTGTATTTTTAGTAGAGACCGTGTTTCACCATGTTGGCCAGGTAGGTCTCCATCTCTTGACCTTGTGATCCGCCCACTTCAGCCTCCCAAAGTGCTGGTATTACAGGCGTGAGCCACTGTGCCTGGCCCACAGTCACAATTTTTTAGCCACAGCTTCTCAACTCTAAGATGGTCTGAAAACTTTTTGTCAGTTTGTCTCAAAATCATTTGGCAGCAAACCCTGACTTGAAGTTGAGGCTTCATTTATCCTACTTAGTATAAATAAGTGTTTTGCGAAAGAAATAATTATGAAATACTACTTCACACTGACTGGGGTTGTATGTGCATTTTATTTCCTGTTTTCTAAAACACTAAAAATGCTCAATTCTGTCCCGGGTCTTGCCATAAAGCTTTCAGTGGACTGTGGACCTGTTAGACCTTAACAAGTTGAATAAGGATCAAAGATAATGTCCATATTGCTCTTGGCATGAAGTTAGGTGCCTGATAAATGCTGGTTATCAATCTCATTATGCAAATTCTGTTTTCAAGTTTGTGGGGTTTTTCCCCCTTCCTGGAGATACCTGTTCTATTTTAAAGGGAGGAAGGCTGCAGAGAGGGCTTGTAGCTGATAGCTGTTCACTTGTGGAACTTTCAGCCTGAGGCTGGAGACCCTTCCTGGGAGTCTGGTCTTGTCCTCCTGACCACCCCACACCCTTCCTCTAAACTCCCTGTATCCCTGTTTTCTCCCACTCGACTCTTGGGAGTGCACTGAATCTCAGACTGTAATAGAAGTGTCAGGAGGCTGGAAGGACAGGCAGCAGTAGGCTGAGCTTTTTTCTCCCCTAGCTCATGGGAATCAAGCAGTGGAAATTTTTAGTGAGTGGTATTTTACGTTGTGTGCTTACTAGTTGTGTCTTCCTGTCTTGTTCTTGGTAATTTGAAGAAACTGTTATTACAAGGTAAGGCGTTGAAACAAATAGGTGACAGGAAAAAGTGGCAGTGGCAGGAGCTGGAGAAGTGGCTTAGCTTGCTCCCTTTCAGTGTGGAGGGTTGATGGAAAGGAGCAGTCGTGTTCCTGAAGAATGTTGGTCTTCAGATCTAGGGGGATTGTACCTTGGCGTTGATTGAAACTCCTGGTCTAACGTCAGTCCCCAGACCGTTAGTTGGATGAACATGATATTTGGCAGTGCAGTTTAAAAAGCTGCTTGCTGCAGCCGGGTAATGATAAGGCTGTGTGAAGAGTCCAGAGCTGGTATTCTGTTTCTTTCACTCTGACATCTTGCCTCCCTATATTTTGAGAGGGAAGGAGTTGGTGAATTGTTTTAGAATACTGGATGAATGTCTGCATTTATTCATCACACCTTTACTGAATATGTTTATGTGCCAGAGACTGGACTTTATTAAATTATGGTGCTCAGTAAATATGTGTGTGTGTGTGTGTGTGTGTGTTGTTGTTTGTTTTGTTTGAAATGGAGTTTCACTCTTGTTCCCCAGGTTGGAGTGCAATGGTGCGAGCTCGGCTCACTGCAACCTCTGCCTCGCAGGTTAAAGTGATTCTCCTGCCTCAGCCTCCTGAGTAGCTGGGACTACAGACTTGCACCACCAGGCCTGGCTAATTTTGTATTTTTAGTAGAGACGGGGTTTCGCTATGTTGATCAGGCTGGTCTGAAACTCCCAACCTCAGGTGATCCATCTCTGGTGATCCTTGGCCTCTCAAAGTGCTAGGATTACAGGTTTGAGCCACTGTACCCAGCCAAAATTTGTTTTTACAAATAATTTTTTATTGGAAATAGCAATAAAATGACTTTTTTCAGGATTATGTGATTTAAAAAGATTTACTCTTTGACAAAATGATATGTATTTACGATAGAAAATGTACACAAATAAAAACAACATAGTTCACTGAAAGCCCTCACAAGAGTCCAGGGCTTGTTACCATTCTGAAGTGACTATGGAATTTCCTAGCAGTGAATATACCATATATATTTGGTTTTGAGACAGAGTTTCGCTCGTTACCCAGGCTGGAGTGCAATGGCACGATCTCAGCTCACCGCAACCTCCGCCTCCTGGGTTCAAGCAATTCTCCCGCCTCAGCCTCCTGAGTAGCTGGGATTATAGGCACGCACCACCATGCCCAGCTAATTTTTGTATTTTTAGTAGAGACGGGGTTTCACCATATTGACCGGGATGGTCTGGATCTCTTGACCTCGTGATCCACCTGCCTCGACCTCCCAAAGTGCTGGGATTACAGGCTTGAGCTATCGCGCCTGGCTCTACCATATTTTTTTAACCACTCCTGTTAGATATTGGTGATTTTTAATTTTTTTGAGATGGGGGTCTCACTCTGCAGTATACAATATAATAGTTCACTGTAACCTGTATCTCCTGGGCTCAAGTGATTCTCCCATCTCAGCCTCCTGAGTAGCTAGGACTACAAGTGGGCGCCACCACACGTGACTTTAAAAACTTTTTTTTTTAACTTTTTTATGAAGATGAGGTCTCACTGTGTTGTCCAGGCTGCCTTCAAACTCCTGGGCTCAAGCGATCCTCACACCTTGGCCTCCCAAAGTTTTGACGTTTGAGTCACTGCACCTGGCCCTATTAGCTATTTCAAATGATTCCCATTTCTCTCCCAAAAAAACCTGTTGTGAGACTGGGGGGTGAGGAGAGGGAAGGGGCATATGGAAACCTGTAGCACTTTCCACTTAGTTTCCCTGTGGGCCTAAAACTGTTCTAAAAATAGTCTCTGAAAAAATACACAAAACAGCAACTGTTTGTGATAGGCTTGCATTGAAAATAAGGGTTTTTTTCCCTTTTGGAAAAACAGCTCTTGTTTTCTTTGGGGAAGCATAAAGGTCATGAAACAGCGCACTATATTACATTAATTTTGAAGGGAAAGATGAGAAGAAATCTTGAATGGCTGGCTTTCTAGAGAAGAGTAGAGGCTTAACAGGTGTCAGAGAAAAAAATCAGTCGGACAGTGGCAGTAAAATGGCAAAACACAGACTTTATTCAGAAAAACTGTAGTAGGAGAGAGACCACAGTACAGAACAGGGCTCCACTCTGGCTGGATACAAGGAAAAGTAGAAATTGATGAGGGGACGCGGTGGGGAGGGGATGTCAGTGGATAGAAAATGATTAAGAAGAAACACCGGCTGATGGTTCTTGCTGAAGGCAGGCCAGAGTTAGCAGACATCACCTGGGAGATGCGGGGGGGTGTGGGGGGGCGCTGTGGAAGCTGATCAGGTGTCCAGGATGATCAGACATTGAAGCTGTGGGATTCTGGCCAAATCAATTTAGCAGGATTCTTGGTAAAATTGGCGATGCAAAGACAGACACGCTGAGTACAGGTCCAGGCCTTGTTGGGAAAAGAATTCGGCCAAGCCTGAGTAATTTGGTCTAGGGAGACTGTCACCCGGAGGACAGGCGGGGTGCTTGGAAGTGCGCTGTACACCTTAGCGGCCAGTGGGTCCAGCTGTGAAGGGCCAGACCGGGAGGCCTGCGCCGTGCCGAAGGGGTGTGGAGCAAGCACGAGCGGGAGGCCGGGGGCGGGGCTGCGGGCCAGGCCTCGGCCTCCACGTGCGGGGCGGGCCAGTTCCGCCCCTCGGCGGGCGCTTCCCAGATCTGCTCGAGTCTATGGAGGAAAAACTCCGCTGCGTCCGCGATTCCCATGGCCGCAGCCGCCTGCGGCACCAAAGCCATGGCCCTCTTCAAGCGCACCTTGGTGCTGAGTCCCGCCGCGGCGCCCAGGGGCCCGGGCACAGGCACCGCCCCGCGGGGCTGCTCTTTGCCTCCTGCCGCCTGGCCCTACAAGGACTGGCCGCGAGGAGAGGGCTGCAGGCTGTGGAGCCGCCTGCCCCAGTCCCACTCCCACTCCTGCTCGTCGACGTCTCCCAGCGCCGTGTGTCTTGTCTGCCCGCAGGACTCGCTCAGCAGCAGCCTGAAAACTTGCTACACGTATCTGAATCAGACGAGTCGCAGTTTCGCAGCTGTTATCCAGGCGCTGGATGGGGAAATGCGGTGAGTGGGGGAGGAAAGCTTGTCCAGGGACCTCTGCTGATTAGAAGCTGCTTGTTGACATAGCGCTCAGCGTTGCAGCCTCGTGGCTGTGGCTTCTTCAGACCATAGCCCTGCCCTAGTGAAGGCAGTGTTCGGGCTTGTGAAGCCTGCGTTTACTTTAGAATGCCCTTCCAGGCGCTTTGCCATCCAGTAGTGTCCCTGCGGGCCCAGCCTTTCCGAGGAGCAGGTTGGGGGGATGGTGATGTTTATTAACTGTTTTTAGTCTTGGCAACTGAACCTGGCTGTGAGCAGGTCGTATTTTCCCGGCTTCCCTTATCCTACTTTGCATTTCTATTTCTAGCATATTGGGTTGATTCTTTTGAAGCTGCCTCTGTGCAGATTACACCCGTGAACTTAGACCAGTTGCCTTTATGTACGGTCGCATTTAGACTGAGAAGTTACAGTGTTTTTTGGCTTTCTTTTCTATTTGCCAAATACTCGTTCGGTCTAAACGTTTGCTCTTTTGGTCTCCATAGTTGTGCTACATTAATTAAGTGCAACTCATTTGTGGGAGTAGTAGTGACACTCAACTAGTCGGCCTATTTTTTAATAAACTACAGAAATTCATTACTCATGTAAGAAAGGAAAACTAACGTAAGTTTCATTAAGTATGAAAAGCTTTGGATACCCGTATAGTTCTTTCAAGTTAAGGGTGTAGGTGGGTTTAGAAAATGGCCTGGCACAAGTTATTTTGAGATAAAATGTCTTTGGATGTTTCTTCCAATATAGTAATAGTTTTTCGTTTTTTACAGCAATGCAGTGTGCATATTTTATCTGGTCCTCCGAGCTCTGGACACGCTGGAAGATGACATGACCATCAGTGTGGAGAAGAAGGTCCCGCTGTTACACAACTTCCACTCTTTCCTTTACCAGCCAGACTGGCGGTTCACGGAGAGCAAGGAGAAGGACCGCCAGGTGCTGGAGGACTTCCCAACGGTGAGCGGGGTTATACTGCGTGTCTACAGATGGTCGTGGTGTTCATAATTGCTAATGTGGTTGTCTGCTAGCCTACACACTTGAGGAGGAAGGTAAAGCAAGCAGTGTGAGGCCAGCATATTGTGATGGTTAAGAACTCTGGTAGCCAAGACTCTGAAGCCAGGCTGCCTGGGTTGGAATCCCATATCTTCCACTTACTAAACCGTTGGCTATTTGCGAAGTTTCTCTGTGCCTCCGTTTCTTCATATATAAAATTGGGGTAACAGCACCTACCTCATGGTATTGTGAGGATTCAGAGAATTAACATAGGTAACACTCATAGGTGTCTTAGAGAACGTTAGCTGCTGCTGTTATTACCAGTATTGAGAGTCCAGTGTTTCTTCCTGTGGGAAGACGCACTCAAATTGCAGTGTTGTAAAAGATCCTCAGGCTCGCTCACAAAAGCCTGCTGCCTGTAGAATGCAGCCTCCCTGTGTAACACTGATTGTCTTGACTACCCTGAGCCCAGTAGCATGGGACTGCTGTTCAAGATGGGTAGCACCCTGGCATAGGGGGTGGTGTCTGTTGGCAGCTAGGGTGAGGATTGAGAAGCAGGGTGAGCCTTTGCCACTTTGAGCTGTGATCCTGGGCAAGTTCCTTATCTGCTTTGTGTCTCGGTTTCCTCATTTGTGTAGTTAGAGCTGAGAGGACTAAGTAACTTCGTGCATAAAAAGTATTTGGTGCCTGTTACATAGTAAATATTCTGTAAATGTTAGCTATTTGGTCTGTTTTGTTGAAGTGAAGTGGGTTATAGTTAAAATCCTAAGCTTTAATAAGTCCCTCAAGTTTATGTGGACATCTGACCGGGTCCCACTGTCCGAGAATTCGCGTGTCTTATCAAACAACTAATTCTTCCATATTTGATTTAGCAAAGTCACATGTTCAGTAAAAGGCCAAAGAAGCCCTTTTGTACACAGTTGCCAGAGCTTTTGGAGAAGAGCCCTTATGTGGCTGTTGTTACTGAAACAAACCTAATCTATATCTGAGTTGGAAGGAAGTTAAGTGGACAGATGGAGAGTCCTCTACCAAACAAAAGAATGTTTGATTCTCCATAATGGGAGGAATATTTAAAGAAAGAAAAAAATATTTGGGGAAGACCGTTTTAGTGCAGTGGCTATTTGAGATTGCTGAGATCAGACCTTTAGTGCCAAAGTCCAAAATATAGTTCAGCATGATACAAATGAAAAGGAAATATCTGAAGAATAGAGTTTATCCATTACAATTGAAAAGAAGAAAGAAAATGTATGACAGGTAACTGGATGAGAATTAGAGCTGTAACCTTGGGAAGGTCCTGGTGATTTGGCTCTCACAGGACACCTGATGACCAGAGGATGGGTTTACTTTGATGGGAAATCTGTGGCCATTCATTTATGGCCCTGTGAAAAAAACAGAGGAAGCAGTCATACTCCATTTATAATGGAAGCACATTCTCACTTAAAAACAACCAGTAGTATTCTAGCTGGACCTAGCCTCCAAAAACAACCAAATTACTTTTCACTTCAGTAGATTCATAATATTTAAAAAATTTCTGGGGGCATAGGATAAATGTCTTAGGCATTACAAAAATCAAGGCAGCCCTATCCACTTAGCAAAGATGAGAGAATGTGAAAGTGTGTGAATGCTGTCATAATTTTGGGGAACATCGCTAGTAAATTTCCAGGCGGTATTCCAACATGCTTGTAAAACTTCAGTCTTCCTTTGTTCATACAGTGTTCCAGAGAAAGATAATGCTTAGTGCTGGAAGGTTTCAGATGTGAACACGGAACTCATCGTTTTCCCTTTTGGGTAGCAGAGTTAGAAAGCAGAGGTTCGATCCTCTTGAAAGCAGATTAGCCCCCGGAAGAGTAAAAGGGAGCAGAAAGCGCAAGCCAGGCACTGCCATTTTCGCTGTTGTTAACCTTTTGTATCCTTATGAATATAAAGATGGACAAACTTGTGTGTTCTGTATACATATATAATTGAGCTACTTGAATTATAGGTCCCTCCAGTCTCTGATTCAGCTTTGGATGGGACTGTATGGGAATTAATAGTGCCTTGTCTTCTTAAGGAATATTTGTGTATGTACTGATCTAGCCCAGGATCTCCTTGAAACCAGTTGTGCGGGTCTGGGCCCGCAATTAGCTTTTGGCTCAGAGGTCCCAGGATAGAGTAAGTATAAAGGAGGATTGATAGCTTGGCCTCACTCACACAGTACTGCTGTTAGACTTAGGCAAGTGGGATTCCTCACTTTAGAGGGCCCTATTGTAGGCCCCTCACTCCCAAAGGAGTTGCTGGGGCCATGGGAATGTACTTGCCCAGACCTCGTGGGCTCTCCTTCGACAACACGTTCTAGAACTCTGGAATTCCTTGCCCCAATCCCTGAGCCATGTCGGCATCTGCACAGTCTATTTCCTAAGGCCCGTCCATCTCCTCCAGGAGGGAACATGGCACCATTGACCATGCCCTGGAGCCTGAGTGGTGGCCGAGGGCAATGTTGGGAAACCTTGTGGATGGAGCCTGGTCTTGAAGGCTGGTATATCCTCGCAAATTAACGTGAGGTGCCTCCCAGTGCTGTAGAGAGCAGGACTCAGGAAACGGTCGAAGGGAACAGCCTGGGATATGGAGATCTGCTCTCTGTGCCCTGCTGCATTTTGGAACAAAACTCTAAGGAACTGAGAATTTTAAATTCAAAGCTGAATCAACCAGGTTGTTATGAAGATGTTTGTCAAGGCAGAAGGACAGACTATATTTAACAAGTTATGAGCGCGATTAATCATTTAAAAATTTTTAGCTACATATAGTGCGTGGGCCTCCATTTGTCCTTTTGTCCCAGGCCTCACAGAATTTAGGAATAAGCCTTGATAGAGTGAGTATTCTAACTAAGTGACCTCCGCCTGGATGTACAGTTAGTTTGTACATTGAGATTGACCACATGCTTTAGTGATTGTTGATCTTAGTTGATACCAGTTCGTCAGGCTTTCTAGAACTCCGATTGAATATGAAGGGCTTGATCAGAGCAGTCATGCATCACTTAATGAATGGCAGAGGATACGTTCTGAGAAATGCACTGATGGATGACTTCATCATGGTCTGAATGTCATAGGGTGCACGGACCTAGGTGGCGTAGCTACTGCACATGGAGGCTCTGTGGGATAGCCTGTTGCTCCAGGGGTGCACCCATCTACAGCATGGTTCTGTGCTGAATACTGTGGGCACTGTAGCGCAGTGGTATTTGTGTATTTAAACAGAAAAGGTGTAGTAAAAATACGATGTTACCATCTTAAGGGACCAACATTGTATTTGCCGTTGTCGTTGACTGAAACATCATTATATGGTACATGACTATGTATCTTTCTCACCGGGTACTAGTGGAAAGCTAGAAAGGTTAAGAGCGCTACCTGTAAACATAGCTTAAGGAATAATGCAGCCTCAGTTTTAAATGGTAATAGCACCTACTTATTAAGCAATTTACTACGAGTTAGCTAATATATATTCTCAGTATTTTACTTTTTGTGTTATTTTATCTGTAATATAGTTTAACAGGAAAATTATGTGGTATGTAATGTACTGTTATTATCTATACTTAATGTAGATGAGGAAACTGAGGTACAGAAAAGTTAAGTACTTTGCCTAGGATTACCTGTGATGTTAAGTGGCCGAATCAGCGAATCTGGAAGGTCTGGCCCCAGATCCCTGTGCTTAGTCACCCGCATACTTTACCACCTCTTTAAAAAAATGGTTCAAAACACAAAGCCAACAACCTAACCAAAAACAGTTCAAACACAGGCGAAGGTAGACCCACCGGTGTTTTAATCAGAGGAGTTTTTATTCCCTGCTACTCTTACCCCTCTGTGGGATTTGGCCTTTCTGCATTATCCCTGGGGACTCTGTCTGGTACATTGCTTGTTGCACTTGGAATCACCAGAAAGTGACCTGAGAACATAGAAATCTGCTGTGTTGTAGGACAGAATTACTTGGAAGCGGAAAAAGCCCTCCTGGCCCAATTCACGTGTCAGGGCTTATTGTTGTGCACGAGAAATATACAAAACTGGGCAGTGAGTGTGGAGTCGGCAAAGCTCTGTCCTTCCTCTGGATTTCTGGGAAAAACGTAGAGCTCTTCACTGTCACTTTCTCCAGTATATCTGTGTTTTTACTTTTGGAACTGTACGATTATGTAATAAATACCAAAGAGGAGTTGGAAGGATAGGTCAAGTTCAGAAGTGAAAGTGTTTTGGAGGAGTCTAAGCTCCTCCCCACCTTCACTGGCCTTTCCTCTCTAATAAATAGAGCTGGTCTAGCCAAGCATCTGTGGAAGGAGCAAAGTCCTATGGACATTGAGGGATTCTAATAACCTCTTGTAGAGTTGCTAGTTCGTTTTAGCCCACAAGAAGGAATTACCTTTTGGCATTGGCTTGAACAGCTGTCTGCAAAGAACAACCTTTCAGAAAGAGTTCTGAAAGGACCAGATTGATTTTTTCTTTTGTTTGTGTGTGGAGGGAAAGAGAGGAGAGGGGGTTGACAGTTGATATTAATCAGAAATCCTAAATTATGTGAATTCCTGGTGCTTTGCAATCAGCTGGTCACCTGGTTTTCCTCTGGGCCCTTAATTTTAGGTGTTTTCTGAGGAAGTTTTTCTAACCTTTCTGTAAACGCAGGCTGAGTATATTGCACACCTTCGACGTTTAGCCAAATCTCTTCGCGGTTTGCAGTATTACGTGTAGGCGCTCATGTTTTGTAGCATTTAAGACTTCCCATGGCGTTTTTATATTGCATTTTGCTAACGTATAAACAATTTGAACTTAAGATATTTGGGCAGTAACAATAAATTTTAAAAACATCAATTCAACTTTTCTAAATTAGGGCTTGGACTATGGAAAAAGTATTGGGCAGCATGCCTCATTGAGTTGTTTAAGGAATTTAAAAGTATAGCTTTATAGTGAGAAAGACACTATAGCATCATAATATAAATTGGGTAACTAATGAGAGAAAATGGTTGGCAGGTCTGCTTACGAGACTCTAAGCTCTTCCAGGGTCAGTTTCTGTTTGTTTCCCTGGTGTATATCCGCAATGCCTAGAATGATACCTGCTCTATAGGAAGTGCTTGATCCGTGTTTGCACAAATGAATCTTTCTCATAATGAGGTTTGTCTGAACAAACTGTTCTCCCTAAAATTCTTACGCTTATACCCAGCATTATGTTGAAGCATCTTGTTATTCATTGGATAATGAACATGTAGTGAGACTTTGAATCTTCTTTTGAATCGAGAAACATTAGCATTTTTAGACCCTTCTGTTTTAATGTTTATACAATTTATGGAATAATAAATATGTATGACCTTAATTAGGCTTATAGATAAACCATTTCAGAATCAGAATTCTACCATTGTTTTGCCTTGTGATCTTTGGTGCCATGCTCTACATAGTTCATGATTTCTGGTTTTGTATGGTCTCCATTTCAGATCTCCCTCGAGTTTAGAAATCTGGCTGAGAAATACCAAACGGTGATCGCTGACATTTGCCGGAGAATGGGAATTGGGATGGCAGAGTTTTTGAATAAGCATGTGACCTCTGAACAGGAGTGGGACAAGGTTAGTCTCGTAAGACAATGTCTGTGTGTGATGTATTAGACAAAGCTGGCAGTCCTCATAGTGAAGTTCAGAACAAGGAAAAGTTGTCCACTAGTTCCAGGCCCTCTGGTTTTATAGTTCATCTGTTAGGTTGAATGTCACATCATAAATGCTTTATTCCAAACCAGCAGCTAGGTAGGATATCAGCCAGGCTAGGACTAGAGGACTGGAGAGAAGTGCTTACCTAGACAAAAGGATGTAATTGACTACAGAGACTATACTACACATCAAAATATAAGGTAGGGTTAGGAGTCTTGTCTATTTTTCATAGGAATGGTGTTTGTGAGACTTACTCATCACTTCTTTGGAAGCAGACATTTATTTAAAGCCAATCAGATTTGGCAAGCAAAGACATTTCAAACATCTAAAGTGTTGACGTATTTCATACCTTTAACAGTGTTTAAATTAGGGTCACAAAAAAGATCTGCTACATTGTCACTAAGTTAATGTAGGTCCGAGGTCTTGGGCCTCTTAATTTTTCATACCTCAAAACTTGACAGCAGTATCTTTGGAACTGTTGGTGTGTGCTTCCCAAGTTAACAGCACATAGTGAGTGCTAGAATAGCAACTTCTGCATTTAAGGTGAAATTAGCCGGGCACATGGTTTACCTGTAATCTCGTATTTTGGGAGGATCATTTGAGCCCAGGAGTTCCACACAAGCCTAAGCAACATAGTGACACCCCATCTCTCAAAAAAATAAAAAAATTAGCAGGGCATGGTGGCACGTGCCTGTGGTCCCAGCTACTCTGGAAGCTGAGGTGTGGGAGGACTGCTTGAGCCCTAGAATTCAAGGCTGCAGTGAGCTGTGATTGCACCACTGTGCTCCGACCTAGTGACAGAGCAAGACCCCATCTGAAGGAAAATAAAGTGGAGGAAACTTCTGGCCAAGAACCAGCCCTGGTTATGATAGTGACTTCATTTTCTGTTGTGCAGATTTATTCAGGAAACTTAATGTAGGTTGTTGAAGTTCTGATCAGATAAAATTGAAATTTGTAAAATTTTTTTGAGACAGCGTCTTGCTCTGTCATCCAGGCTGGAGTGCAGTGGTGTGATCATGGCCCACTGCAGCCTTAACCCCCTGGGCTCTAGTGAGCCTCCCACCTCAGCCTCCCGAGCAGCTATAACAGGCGCATGCCACCATACTAGGCTAATTTTTGTATTTTTTTGTAGAGACAGGGTTTTGCCATGTTGCCGAGACTACTTTCAAACTCCTGACATCAAACAGTCCTCCCATCCTGGCCTCCCAAAGTGTTGGGATTATAGGCATGAGCTACGGCACCTGGCTAAATATTTTAAGGAGTTATTATTTTCTTTAGAGGAAAAAGAATTATATAAGTCTCCACTTTAGGAGAATTTCTACCAGAAGAACTACTATCTTAAAATATATTTTTCTTTGAATAGCACTGTAGAGGTATTGTTTTTTTTTAAATTTCTAGTAATTCTTTATAAGGTTTTGTTTAGCTGTTCAGTAATTTCCTTCTACCTAATTTCAGCAAAATTTTACTCTCCTCATGTTCCTTTTCTTCTAGAATACATTTCAATTGCTTTCTCTTGGCCTGTTCATTGTGCCCCTGGTTAGCCTCTGGCCTTGTATTACTTTCAGTCAGAGACGACTTTTTTTTAAGACAGGGTCTCACTCTGTCACCCAGGCTGGAATGCCGTGGCACAAAAAAGGCAACCTTGACCTCCTGGGCTCAAGCAGTCTTCCTTGCCTCAGCCTCCTGAGTATCTGGGACCACAGGCACATTGCTACCATGCCTGGCTAATTTAATTTTAATTTTTTTTAATAATTTTTTAATTTGGATTTTTTTTTCTTTGAGACAAAGGCTTGCTCTTGTCCCCCAGGCTTGAAGTGCAGTGGCACGATCTTGGCTCACTGCAACCTCTACCTCCCAGGTTTAAGCGATTCTTCTGCCTCAGCCTCCTGAATAGCTGGGATTACAGGCGCTGGCCGCCATGCCCAGCTAATTTTTGCATTTTTAGTAGAGACAGGGTTTCACCACGTTGGCCAGGTGGGTCTCAAACTCTTGACCTCAGGTGAACCACCTACCTTGGCCTTCCAAAGCACTGGGATTACAGGCATGAGCCACTGTGCTTGGCCATTTTTTTATTATTTTTGAAACAGGGTCTTGCTCTGTCATCCAGGCTAGAGTGCAATGGCGTGATCAAGGCTCACTGTAGCGTTGACCTCCTGGGCTCAAGCAATCCTGTCACCGCAGCCTCCCGAATAGCTCTGACTATAGGTGTGTACCACCACACTGAGCTAAGTTTTGTAATTTTTTGGTGGAGACAGGGTTTCACCATGTTGCCCAGGCTGGTCTTGAGCATGTGGGCTCAAGGGATCCACCTGCCTTGGCCTCCCAGGTGTAAGCCATCACACACACCCAGGCTTTTAAAATTTTTTTGTAGAGATGAGGTCTCCCTTTGTTGGCCAGGCTGGTTTAGAACTCCCGGGCTCAAGCAATCTCTCCACAACCTCCCAAAATTCTGGGATTACAGGTGTCAGCCTTGGTCATGGCCTAACTTTTACCTATCCTAATGACACTCCAGAGCTTACCTTCTTTACGCTTCGCTTCTTAAGTTAACTAATAGACAATTATAGTATGTGGATATTGCATTAAGTTGTCTTAGGGATCAGCCATTTCAGAGGAGGATAGCTTTTGACAAATTGCTGTCATGGAAAAAAGGTATTTGACAGTTAAGACTCGCATTTACTGAAATCTCTGTTCAGAGAGGGGGAGTATGCTGTCTCTAAAAGAAAAACAGAAAAAAGAAAGGAGGGGAAGTTTTAGCAGAGTTGTTCAAGCGTGACACTTACATCAGATTACCTAGTTTTGAACCCTTATCCCCTGTCACAAACATGGCAGCGATCCTCCTCCTTTACCCTCCTAAGTAACTGGGACCATAGGCATGTGCCCCCATGCCTGGCTTATTGTTTTTTCTCAGATGGGCAATGTTGGGCAAATTAATTGACCTCTCTGTGCCTCAGTTTCCTCATCTGAAATGGAGATAATAGTGCCATGTACCTAATAAAATGTTAGTGAGGATTGAATATGCAGAGTCCTTAAAACAGTGTTAAGAACATATGATAGGTATTTGTTCTTTCATATAATAATGATTTTGAGGTTCTGAAGGTCTTGAAATGTTTTCAGATTGGTGAAAGAAAGATGATATTTAGTATTGTCTTAGTGTCTGTTAGCCAGAATACTCCATCTTTTGTCATTGCCGCCTTTCACAATTTTATGTATCAAAAAGTTTACTGTAAAGCTAGGCCAGGCGCAGTGTCTCGGGCCTGTAGTCCCAGTACTTCGAGGCAGGCGGATCAGTTGAGGTCAGAAGTTCGAGACCAGCCTGGCCAACATGGTGAAACCCTGTCTCTACTAAAAATAAAAAAATTAGCTGGGCATGGTGGTGGATGCCTGTAATCCCAGCTACTCGGGAGGCGGAGGCAGGAGAATCACTTGAACCCAGGAGATACAGGTTGCAGTGAGCCAAGATCGTGCCACTGTACTCCATCCAGCCTAGGTGACAAAGTGAGACTTGATCACAAAAAAAAAGTTGATTGTAAAGCTAGACAGGGTGGTATATGCCTATAATCCCAGCTCTTTGGGAAGCTGAGGGAGAAAGATTGCTTGAGCCCAGGAGTTTGAGTCTAACATGGGCAACATATGAGACCCCATCTCTTTAAAAAAATATATTAATTTAAAAAATGTTTACTGGACTAGTTTTTTTAGTAGCCTTTTATCATAGTAGCAGTACATGTTCATTGTAGAAATTTAGAAAATACAAGTAAAAAATCATCACATTCCCATCAGAGATTGCTGCTAAACTTGTGCACATCCTTTTTGGATGTTTTTTAAATCCTGGTATGTATATTTGTATTTTAAAATGAAAATGCATAGTCCATTACTTAAATCAAAATGCAGTCTTACACATTCTGTTTGGAACCTGCGTTTTAGTAGCTAATGATCTCTAGTGTGTCCCTTTTAGCAAAAATTCCATTATTAAAGTACTTTAAAAATCCTCTCTTACAGTACTGCCACTATGTTGCTGGGCTGGTAGGAATTGGCCTTTCCCGTCTCTTCTCGGCCTCAGAGTTCGAAGACCCCTTAGTTGGTGAAGATACAGAACGTGCCAACTCCATGGGCCTGTTTCTGCAGAAAACAAACATCATTCGTGACTATCTGGAAGACCAGCAAGAAGGAAGAGAGTTTTGGCCTCAAGAGGTAACAGATTCAGGGTGTTTTGGGGGAAAATACTGTTAGACATTCTCTGAAAACTCATTTAACTTTCGTGGTTGCAACTTGTGTGTTTCATAAGTCAGACCTACCCAAGACATAAGAGTATGTGGAAAACAGGATAGGTTGAGAGTAGTTTGCTTCAGGTGGACTGGCTGAATCCCAGGATTTATATCATATAATCAGTGTATTCCAGCTTTGGTGTCCTTTCTTTCTTTCAGTCAGTCTTTCACCAATTGGTGGATATGATAACAACCCATGTGCACTAGCTTAACAAAAAGTTCTCAGGAAAGGCTTTGTTTGGCCAGGTGCAGTGGCTCACACCTGTAATCCCAGCACTTGGGGAGGCCGAGGTGGTCAGATCACCTGAGGTCAGGAATTCGAGGCCAACCTGACCAACACGGTGAAACCCTGTCTCTACTAAAAAATACAAAAACAGGTGTGGTGATACACACCTGTAATTCCAGCTACTCGGGAGGGTGAGGCAGGAGAATCACTTGAACCCAGTAAGCAGAGATTGCAGTGAGCTGAGATTACGCCACTGCACTCCAGCCTGGGTAACAGAGCTTGGTTCTTCTGCTCAGCCCTGAATCAGTTCCCGTTGCTAGACATCTGAGTCCTCTGGTCTCACCTGGATATGTTTGGGTTATCTCCCAGCCCAGCTATTATAGTGCCAGCTATTTGGGAGGCTGAGGCAGGACAGTATGCACACAATGGATTTCCCTCTAAGAACGACTTAGGCAGCAAGAAGCTGAAAGGAATGCCAGGTAGACAAAAACTACAGGTGTCTCTAATAAGAGACAGGAGTCTGTCTTTAACTTAATTAAAACATGGATAGGGAACGGAAAGATTTTGGTACTGATTTTGCTCAAAAGGAAACTAGAAAATTTTATGATGGTTTCCTGAATTTATTCTGGCATTTACCTTTTGCTTTCCATAAAATTGTTTTCTGCAGCCAAGTACTAAGTAATTTTAAAAAGGTTAGGAGGCCGAGCATGGTGTCTCATAATCCCAGTGCTGAGGCCAGGAGTTCAAGACCAGCCTGAGCAACACAGCACAACACCATCTCTACAACAAACTGTTTGAAATTGATTTTGCTGAAAGAGAGCAAAAATAAAGTAGAAAAATAAAACTAAATTTAAAAAATGATCTGCATGGTGGCATGCACCTGTATTCCTATCTGCTCCGGAGGCTGAGGCATGAGGATCTCTTGAGCCCAGGAGCTCAAGGTTGTAGTGAGTTAAATTCACACCACTGCACTCCAGCCTCAGTGGCAGAATGAACGCCTGTCTCAAGGAAAAAAAGTGACAAAGGGGGAAACAATATTTGCAACTTATACAGCAGATAAAGGGTTCCTATTCCTAATGTAAAAAGAACTTCCAAAAGTTAAGAAAAAGACCAACTGCTCCATAGAAAAATGGGCAAAGAGATAAGAACAGATTGTTCACAGAGACATGCAGAGGATTATTAAAAATAGAAAAAGATACTGAGTCTTACTCCTAAGAAAAATTCACTTTTAACCTACCCAGGGGGCCGAGTATGGTGGCTCATGCCTATAATGTCAACACTGGGAGGCCATGGCAGGAAGATCACTGAAACCAAGAGTTCGAAACCAGGCTGGTGGAGTGCCCTGTGGAGTGCCCTGTGTCTTAAAAAGTAAAAATTGGCCGGACACAGTGGCTCCCTCCAGTAATCCCAGCACTTTGGGAGGTTGACATGAGTGGATCACTTGAGGTCAAGAGCTTGAGACCAGCCTGGCCAACCTGGCAAAACCCTGTCTCTATATAAATACAAAAATTAGCCAAGCATGGTGGCATATGCTTATAGTGCCAGCTATTTGGGAGGCTGAGGCAGGACAGTCGCTCGAACCCAGGAGGCAGAGATTGCAGTGAGCCAAGATGACACCACTCTACTCCAGCCTGGGCAACAGAGCGAGACTTCTCAAAACAAAAACAAAAACAAAAAAACCACCATTTAAAAATTAGCTGGGCATAGTGGCACATACCTATAGTTCTAGCTCCTTGGGAGGCTGAGGTAGGAAGATTGCCTGAGCCCAGGAGTTCAAGGCCGCAGTCAGCCATGATCACACCACTGCATTCTAGCAGCCTGGGTGACAGCAAGATCCTTGACTCTTTAAAAAAAAAAAAAACAAGCCAAAACACTACCCTGAGCTTAGATGTGGCCTCTTAAGTTTGCTAGGTGGCTTGCGTGCAGCCAGGGTTGAGAAACCGCTCTTGTTTGCCCCTCTTTTGCTGACAACAGAGCTCAGAGAAGGGAAGGGGTCTGAGGATCACGGTGAGGCAGTGGCTGCTCTCTCTCCGCTCCCAGCCCAGCACCTCACCCCGTTCCACCATCTCCCAGACAACATCAGCCACGGGCATGTGATTCACCAGCATGAGCCACACCATCCTGTGCACATGGGTGCAGAGCCCTGCTCTTCTCATTCACTTCCTTTGTCTGTAAAACAGAATTATTTCTCCACAGGGTGGTGGTGTGAATAAAATGAGATGAACTTCTAGTGCAGAATGCTTAGGAAAGGTTCTGGGCGTTTCATAAAAGTTGAATCATGCCAAGTGTGGGCCCAGGTGATTGGCTTCTTTTGCTAGTGTGTCTTCAGGGCCCTTCCATGCTGGGCATAAATTAGTGCTGCATTCCTTTTTATTGCCCAGTAATATTCCTCTGTATGGACAGACCACAATTATCCATTCATCAGTTGGAGGATATTTGGGTTATTTCCATTTTTTTGGCTATGTTGAATAGTACTGTGTACATTTGCATATAAGGTTTTGTGTGGGCGTGTGTTTTTCTTTTTCTTGGGTCTATACCTAAAAGTAGAATTGCTGAGTCATACAGCAGCTCCAACCTTGTGAGGAGCTGCCAGACTCTTCCATGGTGGCTGCACCATTTTACATCCCCATCGGCAGTGTAAGAGTTCCAGTTTCTTCACGTCCTCATTAACACCTCTTATTGTTTTTTTAAAATTTATAAGCAGAAAATGATCATAATTAACAATATTTTATGTAATAATTGATTCAAGAATAGTTTTATTATTTTCTTTCTTTTTCTTTTTTTGAGCTCATTGACCTTTATTTTTGACTATAGGAAACGGAACTAGAGCTCTGTGAACTCACCTGCCCACACAGCTTCAAACTGTGGGCTTTTGCTGAAGCTGGACTCCAGGCTTGTAGAGTCCCAGGCATTTTTTATTGCACCCTGTTCTTTTTTTTTAAATTATTTTACTTTAGGTGCATATTGTATCTGGCATTTCTCCCCATGTTATCACTCCTCTCCCTCCCCACCCCCTGCTGTCTTTCCCCTACCCACCCCCAACTTCCTCCAGTGTGTGATGCTCCCCTCCCTGCGTCCACGTGTTCTGGTTGTTCAACACCCACCTATGAGTGAGAACATACGGTGTTTGGCTTTCTGTTCTTGTGTCAGTTTGCTGAGAAGATGGTTTCCAGATTCATCCAAGTCTCTACAAAGGACATGAACCCATTGTTTTTTATGGCTGCATAGTATTCCATGGTGTATATGTACCACATTTTCTTTGTCCAGTCTATAGTTGATGGGCTTTGGGTTAGTTCCAGATCTTTGCTGTTGTACACAGGGCTGCAATGAACATACATGTGCATGTGTCTTTATAGTAGAACGATTTATAGTTCTTTGGGTATATACCCAGTAATGGGATTGCTGGGTCAAATGGAATTTCTATTTCTAGATCCTTGAGAAATTGCCACACTACCTTTCACAATGGTTGAACTAATTTATACTCCCACCAACTGTTAAGTGTTCCTATGTCTCCACGTCCTTTGCAGCATCTGTTGTCTCAAGATTTTTTAATGATCGCCATTCTAACTGGCGTGAGATATCTCACTGTGGTTTTGATTTGCATTTCTCTAATGACCAGTGATGATGAGCATTTTTCCGTATGTTTTTTGGCCTCATATGTCTTCTTTTGAAAAGTGTCTGCTCATATTCTTCACCCACTTTTGAATGGCGTTTTTTCTTGTATATCTGTTTTAGTTCTTTGTAGATTCTGGATATCAGCCCTTTGTCAGATGAGTAGATTGCAAAAACTTTTTCCCGTTCTGTTGGTTGCTGATTCACTCTAATGATGGTTTCATTTGCTGTTCAGAAGCTCTGGAGTTTAATTAGATCCCATTTGTCTATCTGGGCTTTTACTGCCATTGCTTTTGGTGTTTTAATCATGAAGTCCTTGCCTATGCCTATGTCCTGAATGGTTTCCTTCTAGGGTTTTTATGGTGTTAGGTCTTATGTTTAAATCTTTGATCCATCTGGAGTTAATTTTAATGTAAGGTCACAGGTGTAGGGGTCCAGGTTCTGCTTTCTGCATGGAACTGGACCATGTTTTTGCTAGCCAGTTTTCCCAACACCATTTATTAATCATGGAGTCCTTTCCCCATTGCTTATTTATTTTTTTGGGTTTGTCAAAGATCAGATGGTTGTAGATGTGTGGTGTTTCTTCTGGGGTCTCCGTCGGTCTGTGTCTCTGTTTTGGTACCACTATCACACTGTTTTGATTACTGTAGCCTTGTAGTATAATTTGAAGTCCAGCAGCGTGATGCCTCCAGCTATGTTCTTTTTGCTTAGGATTGTCCTGGCTATGCGGGCTCTCTTGTGATTCCATATGAAGTTTAAAGTGGTGGTTTCCAGTTCTGTAAAGAAGGTCATTGGTAGCTTAATGGGGACAGCATTGAATTTATAGATTACTTTGGGCAGTATGGCCATTTTCATAATACGATTCTTCCTAACCATAAGTATGGAATGTTTCTCCATCTGTTTGTGTTCTCTCTTACTTGGTTGAGCAGTGGTTTGTAGTTCTCCTTGAAGAATTCCTTTACATCCTTTGTTACTTGTATTTCTAGGTATTTTATTCTCTTTGTAGTAATTGTGAATGGCAGTTTGCTCTTGATTTGGCTCTGTGTTTGTGTGTTATTGGTATATAGGAATGCTTGTGATTTCTGCACATTGATTTTGTATCCTGAGACTTTGCTGAAGTTGCTTATCAGTTTGAGAAGTTTTTGGACTGAGGCGATGGGGTCTTCTAGACATACAATCATGTCATCTGCAAATAGAGACAGTTTGACTTCTTCCTTTCCTATTCAAATACCCTTTATTTCTTTTTCTTGCCTGATTGCTCTGGCTAGAACTTCCAATACTATGTTGAATAGGAGTGGTGAGAGAGGGCATCCTTGTCTAGTGCCTGATTTCAAAGGGAATTCTTCCAGCTTTTGCCCATTCAGTATGATATTGGCTGTAGGTTTGTCATATATAGCTTTTATCATCTTATGATATGTTCCATCAATACTTAGTTTATTGGGATTTTTTAGCATAAAGGGCTGTTGAATTTTGTCAAAGGCCTTCTCTGCATCTATTGAGATAATCATGTGGTTTTTGTCTTTGGTTCTGTTTATGTAATGGATTACGTTTATGGATTTGAACCAGCCTTGCATCACCGTGATGAATCCTACTTGGTCATGATGGATAAGGTTCTTGATGCGCTGTTGCAATCTGTTTGTCGGTATTTTATTGAAGATTTTTGCATTGATGTTCATCATGGATATTGGCCTGAAGTTTTCTTTTTTAGTTGAGTCTCTGCCTGGTTTTGGTATCAGGATGATGTTGGTCTCAAAATGAGTTAGGGAGGATTCCCTCCTTTTGTATTGTTTGATACAGTTTCAGAGGGAATGGAACCAACTCCTCTTTGTGTGTCTGGTAGAATTCAGCTGTGAACCCGTCTGGACCTGGACTTTTTTTGGCTGGTAGGCTATTGCTGCCTCTACTTTAGCTCTTGTTATTGGTCTATTCAGGGTTTCAACTTCCTCCTGGTTTAGTCTTTGTAGAGTACAAGTGTCTAGGAATTTATCCATTTCTTCCTGGTTTCGTGGTTTATATGAGTAGAGCTGTTTGTAGTAATCTCTGATGGTAGTTTGTATTTCTGTGGAATCTGTGATGATATCTTCTTTATCATTTTTATTGCATCTATTTGATTCTTCTCCCTTTTCTTTTTTATTAATCTGGCTAGTGGTCTATTTAGTTGGTCTTTTCAAAAAACCACCTCCTGGATTTATTTATTTATTTTTTTGAAGGGTTTTTTGTGTCTCTATCTCCTTCAGTTCTGCTCTGATCTTAGTTATTTTTTGTCTTCTGCTAGCTTTTGAGTTTTTTTTATCTTGCTCCTCTAGCTCTTTCAATTTGGATGATAGGGTGTCTATTTTAGATCTTTCCTTATTTCTCATGTGGGAATTTATTGCTATAAATTTCCCTCTAGACACTGCTTTAAAGGCGTCCCAGAGATTCTGGTAAGTTGTGTCTTCATTCTGGTTGAAGAACCTCTTTATTTCTGCCTTCATTTCCTTGTTTATCCAGTCGACACTAAGAAGCAAGTTGTTCAGTTTCCAAGTGGTTGTGCGGGTTTGAGTGTGTTTCTTGATCCTGAGTTCTAGTCTGATTGCGCTGTGGTCTGATAGACTGTTATGATTTCTGTTGTTTTGCATTTGCCGAGGAGTTATTTCCTTCCAATGATTTGGTCAATTTTAGAGTAAGTGCAATGTGGTGCTGAGAAAAATGTATATTCTGTGGATTTGGGGTAGAGCGTTCTGTATATGTCTGTTAGGCCTGCTTGGTCCAGCTCTGCATTCAAGTCCTGGATATCCTTGTTCATTTTCTGTCTCGCTGATCTGTCTAATACTGACAGTGGAGTGTTGAAGTCTCCCACTATTATTATGTGGGAGTCTAAATCTCTGGGTGCTCCTGTGTTGGGGGCATATATATTTAGGATAGTTAGCTCTTCCTGTTGGATTGATCCTTTTACCATTATATAGTGTCCTTCTTTGTCTCCTGATCTTTGTTGAAGTCCATTTTATCATAGACTAGGATTGCAACCCTGCTTTTTTTTTGTTCTCCATTTGCTTGGTAAATCTTCTACCCTTTGTTTTGAGTCTATGTGTGTCTTTGTATGTGAGATGGGTTTCCTGAATACAGCACACTGATGGGTTCTGACTTTTTATCCAGTTTGCCAGTCGTATATTTTGATTGGGGCGTTCAGGCCACTTACATTCAATGTTAATAGTGTTATGTGTGAAGTTGATCGTGCCATTTTGTTACTGGCTGGCTTTCTTTCCCATTAGTTGACTTATTTTCTTCATTGCATTTTTGGTTTTTGCCATCTGGTTTGCTTTTGCCGTGACTGGAACTTGTTCCTTTCTGTGCTTAGTGTTTCTTTCAGGAGCTCTTGCAGGGCAGGTGTGGTGGTGACGAAATCTCTCAGTAATTGCTTGTCTGTATAGGATTTTATGTCTCCTTCACTTATGAAGCTTAGTTTGGCTGGATATGAGATTCTGGGTTGAAAGTTCTTTTCTATAAGGATGTTGAATATCGGCCCCCACTCTCTTCTGGCTTGTTGGGTTTCTGCCGAGAGATCTGCTGTGAGTCTGATTGGCTTCCCGCTGTGGGTGACCTGACCCTTCTCTCTGGCTGTCCTTAGTATTTTTCCTTCATTTCAGCCCTGGTTAATCTGACAATTATGTGCCTTGGGGTTGCTCTTTTTGAGGAATATCTTTGTGGAGTTCTCTGTATTTCTTGAATTTGAATGTTGGACTGCTTTGCTAGGCTGGGGAAGTCCTCCTGGATAATATCCTGGAGTGTGTTTTCCAGCTTGGATTTGTTCTCCCCATCATACTCAGGTACACCTATCAAGCGTAGATTAGGTTTCTTCACATAATCCCATATTTCTTGGAGGCTTTGTTCATTTTTCACTCTTTTTTCTCTTGGCTTGCCTTCTCTTTTTATTTCATTGAGTTGATCTTCAATCTCTGATATCCTTTCTTCTGCTTGATTGATCTGGCTATTAAAACTTGTGTTTGTTTCACGTAGTTCTTGTGCTGTGTTTTTCAACTCCATCAAGTCGTTTATGTTCTTCTCTAAGCTTTTTTCAGGTTTTTGGTTTCTTTGCATTGAGTTAGAACATGTTCCTTTAGCTCAGAAAAATTTGTTATTATCCACCTTCTGAAGCCTGTTTCTGTCAGTTCATCACACTCTTCCTCGGTCGTGTTACGTTCCTGTGTTGTTGAGGAGTTGTGATCCCTTGAAGGAGAAGAGGTGTTCTGGTCTTTGATGGTTTCGTCTTTTTGCACTGGTTTTTTCCCATCTTTGTGGATTTACCTGGCTGTGGTGTCAGGGAGCTGCTTGATGAGGTCGCTTCTCTGCCTGTGGAGGCACTACTGGGTTTCTGGGGACTCCTTCAGGTTACTAGGGAAGCTTCCTGTGTCTTTATTTTTTTATACTGGGAGATTAGGACCGCCTCTTCCGCTGACCTGTAGGCACTGCTGGGTTGTCAAGAACGCCATCCTGTTGCTACATAGGCTTCCTGTGTTTTTTGTTAAAACCTGTAGCCCTGTCCCACCCCTCTAGTGGTGGGTGGTGCCCTTCCTCCACTGGGCTGGATCATTCAGGGTTCAGCTCAGACTGGCACTGGCTGCACAACCCACTAGAATCAGAGCTTCAGCCCTCTGGGGTTTGTGGGGGAGGGTAGGGACCCGCCCAGCCGCAGCCTGCCGGCTGTCTCCCCCTTTCAGCTTCCTCTGTCGCGCGTCATGGGGTCGGGGCCCGCCCAGCTGTTCCTGCTCATAGCTCCCTCTCTCTCCAGGCGCAGGGAGGAGGTGATAGCTCAGTCCGCAGGCTCTTAATCAACTCTGTGCTTGTAATTCCTGGCGCTTGTCTGGCAGAGATGCTGTGTTCTGTGTATTGTTGAGGCTTTGTGGCAAGTGCTGTGTCTGGTCCAGAGTGCCAGAGGGAGAGCCTCCGACTAGCCGGTCAGATGCACTTGCTGGGTGAAGCAGCGCCCCTCCCCGCCTAGGTCTGCCCTGAGTGAGCTTTGCTCACCGTCGGACCAGACCCGTTGAAATGCACCTGATACCTCAGTCGGAGCTAGGAGATCTCTGGATTTCTGCGTCTCTCTCGCTGGGTCTTATGTGCTGGAGTTGTGTCTAATTGGCCATCTTGGATCTTCCTCCTCTTCTTACCGTTTTTTTTAACTGAATGTATATATACTTAACATTGTATTATTATAATAAATGTACATAATAGAGAATTTGCCATTTTGACTATTTTTAAATGCACCATTCAGTGGCATTAAGTACATTAATGATGTTATATAACCATCACCACTATGTTTCCAGAACTTTTGCTAGCTTCAGAGAATTCTCTAAATACTATCATTAAAAATCAAGTCAAATCCCAGTGTTAGAATTGAGGGTTTTCTTTTGCTTTCAAGTTATCGGGGTCCATGGAAGAAATGTACTTAGAGGCTAGACTCGGCTCATTTCCCAGGGACGGCTTTCAGCAGCGTCTTTATCAGAGTCGGAATCTAACGCTAGTCATTATTGTAGAGGCCTGACCACCTGGAGAGTGTTTAATGTTTAGTCTGCAGTACAGTTAGAGCTGATAGGAGTAGACCAATGGCTCTGCCTAACAGGAGTGTCTTTCGTCTGAATTTATCCAAGTAGTGCAGCGTTGCACTCATTGTCGCTAGGGACATGTTCCCCAATACTTAACTCACACCTAGGTTGCAATTGAACCCTAATTAGTAATCAGGAATAGCTATTGCATGGAGCTTAAAATGAACTTGATCTTGCTGAAAAACGAGTCTGCAGCTAAGAGACACAAAGATCCTTTAATATTGTTTGTAAATTCTCCCCTTTGCACACACTGACCTGTTCCTTAATCTTCTCTGTCTAGGTTTGGAGCAGGTATGTTAAGAAGCTGGGGGATTTTGCCAAGCCGGAGAATATTGAGTTGGCCGTGCAGTGCCTGAATGAACTTATAACCAACGCGCTGCACCACATCCCAGACGTCATCACCTACCTTTCGAGACTCAGAAACCAGAGCGTGTTTAACTTCTGTGCTATCCCACAGGTATGGAACAGGGCTCCTCTGGGTGGGTGTGGGGCTAATGGGAGTGGGGCGGATTTTGCTGTGCTGTGTTCAAGGATATGATTCCTTACAAAGATGACTCCAGTTTATTGTGCTGTGGGTTCATAGCATTCCCCTTTGCTTCCAGCCACCAAACTCAGCCTTGAGGTTAAGCATGCTCTTCTCAGAACCTTCTTTCTGGATTTACTCTTCTCCACAGCTATTCTAAACTAGGTAGTTTCTTTTTTTTTTAGACGGAGTTTCACTCTTGTTACCCAGGCTGGAGTGCAATGGCACGATCTCGGCTCACCGCAACCTCTGCCTTCTGGGTTCAAGCAATTCTTCTGCCTCAGCCTCCCAAGTAGCTGGGACTACAGGAGCGTACCACCATGCCCAGCTAATTTTTTTGTATTTTTAGTAGAGACGAGGTTTCATCTTGTTGACCAGGATGGTCTCGATCTCTTGACCTCGTGATCCACCCGCCTCGGCCTCCCAAAGTGCTGGGATTACAGGCGTGAGCCACCGCGCCCGGCCAGTAGTTAGGTTCTTATCCTCACAGATATGTCAAGGTCTTTGGCCTAGTTTATGGGGAGTGCTGGGTGAAATGTGGGTAAAGCTGTTATCATTAAAAAGTCTTCATTAAGCACCTAATTACTGCTGTCCTTTTCCTAGACCCAGGATAACAACCTGGTCCTATAGACACAGCCCCTTGGTACGCTAAGAGCTTACACTTTTTAGTTACCTTTACCAGTTGTTTCAGATACTACTGCAAATAAGTGAAGAAAAAGCAATAGCATTCAACTGAGTTGGGAAGTTGGTTTGATCTTGTTCTAATGACCAACTTTGAATGGTGGTTGAAAGTAAAATCTATATCCCTGTCTTACGTCTTATGTATCCATTTAGCTTTGAGCACAGGAAATCACCCCCTTTCTGTTGTTCTCCCCCAGCATTAGTTTTAAATGTAATGGTTATGTTCATTATAGGAAGAATAGAAAAACAAGTAAAATAGAAAATTCTTCCACTTCCTATTTTGAATTACATATTTCAGATGTAATAACCCATTGCTCTGGCATGGAACATGTTGGATTTACTTGCCTTAGTTCTTTCCAAATACAGTGGATCTTGTGTACTGAAGTACAGAACTCTTTGAGACTGCATAGACTGCTGGATTCTGCGTGGTGTTGAGAAAGGGAGGAGTAGGGAAGGGAAAAATCTTGACATACTTTCTTCGTGGGTATATTTTCTTGATTAGTTACATCTTAGTTCATTAGAGTTGGCATTGCTCATTCAGCAGATTTTCTTAGCTTTTTGTGATGACATAAGACCAGCTCTTCTTTTCCCCCTCTCATCTTGCTCTCTGTAGGTGATGGCCATTGCCACTTTGGCTGCCTGTTACAATAACCAGCAGGTGTTCAGAGGGGTAGTGAAGATTCGGAAAGGGCAAGCCGTGACCCTGATGATGGATGCCACCAACATGCCAGCTGTCAAAGCCATCATATATCAGTATATGGAAGAGGTGGGTTTTTATCTGCTTGGATAATTTGTGGCCACCTTTATGATTTAGTCATGCCACTTGTTTTAACATATTTGGATATTAGATGATCCTAACACCTCACTGTCCTGTGGTCTAAAGAGACAGGAATTGATGCCCTTTATTAGGAAAAAAGTCTGCACAGGAGTGGAGCAGATTGCTCCTTGCTGTGTAGAACCCTGGTGAGAGGAGATAAATGGAGCAAGGCTATAGGAGGGAGCTTGAGTAGAGTCGTACATTTTGAGCGGTAAGATGATGCAGGAGACCAACCAAGCCTCTTGTTGATGGTGAAGAATGTGAGGTTGAAGCTGGTGTGTGCTGTTGCAGTGTGTGAGTCAGTGGATCTCAGGCTCCCGTCCATGCGTCCTGACACCCAGTCCAGTACTTTCATTATGTCACAGGCATCAATTGAAAAATCACAGTTGAGAATTTAGACCAAGGAAAGCCATCAAGTTGCAATTATCCCCTAAATTTTCTTTGGACAGTTTCATTTCAGATACCAAAACCATCCTATAAAAAGATAATATACCTGCTCAGGTCAAATCTCTAATATTTGACTAGGTTCAAAAAATTTATTCTGGCCAGTAGCTTACTCCTGAAATCCCAGGACTTTGTGGGAGACCAAGGTGGGAGGATCACCTGAGTCCAGGAATTCAAGACCAGCCTGGGCAACATAGCAAGACCCCGTTTCTACAAAAAAATTTAAAAATTAGCTGGGCATGGTGGTGCATGCCTGTGGTCCCAGCTATTCAGGAGGCTGAGGTGGGTGGATCCCTTGAGCCTGGGAGGTTGAGGCTACAGTGAGCTGTGTGATCTCATCATTGCACTCTAGCCTGAGTGGTAGAGAGACTTTGTCTTAAAAAAAGAAAAGAAAAAGGAAAAAAACAAACAAAAATGTATTTCTTAGAGTCCAGAAGTCTCTATAATCTCTAGTGATCTATAGGGCCAGAGCAGTGGTTTGTAAATGGAGGTGATTTGCTTGCCTCCCTGCAGAGGACATTGGACAGGGTCTGGAGACATTTTTGATTGTTCTAACTGGCAGGATTGGGGTGCTAATGGCATCTGGTGAGTAGAGGCCCCAGATGATGCTGTGATCCTCGGGTATGATCTTGTTGAGATTGAAACACTGTAGAGTTGATGAAAACATCCAAGACCCTCATCATTCCTCCTCAACCTGAGCTCCCTCCCCGGAGGTTACCGCTGTCTGGTTTTGTACATCCTTCTTGTCCCCTTATTATGCCTTTACAGGATTATGGTTTGTAACAGCACTTGCATCTAAACAGAATTCTACAAAATGGTTCTTATTTCCCCTGCAGGTTGTGTATTCCGCTTGTATTTCCTCCCTACCTTCTATCTGACGTAGAAATGCTGATGTCCAACACTTCTGTCAGAGGCACCTATAGAAGTCTAAGAGAAGACTAAATCTCTTTTCCAAATCCTAAAATTTTGTAGTGACTAGATGAAAGTATTCAGTCACTGACCAAAAACATTGCTACCAATGACTCTCCAGTTTGCCATGTAGGCAGCACTTATTTTGAGCTGTAGTGACCAAGTAGGTGCGTATTAGTAATCCTAGGGAAACTTGGATTTGTAATTACTAACACCTTGGTTATTAGTAATCCTAGGGAAATGTGGCTAGTGTTATAATTTGAACCCAGGTCTGTCTGACATCAGAATCTGTGTTGTTAACCCCAATTCTAAGGGATTCAGCTACCCTTTCTAAGTGGAATGCTGCCACGTTAAGCACTAGTTCTTCATTTTATAGGAATTAGAAACATAATATGTAGTAAGTAGTTCAGAGTGTTTTGGTTTTGCAGTTTTTTTCTGATCATTGATAGTTTTAAAAGCCAGTTTTTAAGCATTTTGTGGCCAATTCTGTTGCTATATTAAAATTCAGATTTATTTGGTTTTCCTTAACTGTTGGAATTAAGTCCTAGTTGTGATTCATAATTTGAGGGAAAAGGTGGACAACCCTGTTTTTGTGAATAAGGTTTATTGGAACACAGCCACACCCATTTGTTTATCTCTCCCGTGGCTGCTTTTGCAATGTAACTGCCGAGTTGAGGAGCTGCAACAGGGGATGACTTGCAAAGCTAAAAATAGTTTTTGGCCCTTGAATAACAGGTTTGCTGATCTCTGAGGTAGGGCATCAGTTGTTTTGTTTAAAGTTATCCTAGTAAAACTCAAGGCTTTTGGTTCTTTTTTTTTTTTTTTTATTTTTTTTTATTTTAAGACTTGCTGCGTTGCCAGGCGCCAGGCTGGAGTGCAGTGATGCGATCTCGGCTCACTGCAACCTCTGCCTCCCGGGTTCAAGCAATTCTGCCTCTGCCTCCCGAGTAGCTGGGACTACAGGTGTGCGCCACCATGCCCAGCTAATTTTTGTATTTTTAGTAGAGACAGGGTTTCACCATGTTGGCCAGGCTGGTCTTGATCTCTTGATCCTCCTGCCTCAGCTTCCCAGAGTGCTGGGATTATAGGTGTGAGCCACTGTGCCCGGCCGGGGAGAAATATTAATACTTAAGTTGATTTGATTTAGAAAAATCTCTGAAGATTTCTTAAGTCTTAAGCAGTAGAACCTAATAATAGTTTTATTTTCAGCAGTAAGGACATTTTACAAATAAAGTTTTTTTAGACAGAGTCTTGCTCTGTTGCCCAGGCTTGAGTGCAGTGGCACAATCTCGGCTCACTGCAACCTCTTATCTCCCAGATTCTCCTGCCTCAGGCCCTGAGTAGCTGGGATTACAGGCATACGCCACCAAGCCCAGCTAATTTTTTTATTTTTAGTAGAGACAGGATTTCACCATGTTGATCAGGATGGTCTCAAACTCCTGACCTTGTGATCTGCCAGCCTCAACCTCCCAAAGTGCTGGGATTGTAGGCATGAGCCACCGCACCAGGCCACAAATAAAGTTTTAAATGAAAACATTTTGTATGAAGTCACAAGCTATCTGGCCACTTGCTGGTGTCCATATATGAACACTGATCCTATTTCTCCTCACTGATGACATCTGCCCATTGCAGTAGGAAAGGAGGAAACATTTACTCTGTCACCCTTGGACTTGGTGTTGTAGCAAGCATGCACCTGGAAGGGACTTGCCAGAGGATCTCCTCCTGCGCCTCCAGTGCTTCAGTGAAGACTTGGAGTGTGGCCCAGGTCTTCCTGAGCAGGTGGCCACCCTCTGCAAGGCCCTCCACCCCACTCTGGAGCAATCTCCACTTCAAACCAGCCTGGACGCCTGTCAGCTGAGGAGAAGATCAACCTGCTATTTTGGGATAGAAATAAGTACCAAGCCAAACAGCCAGAAACCCTCATTCCCCTCTCTGCCAAAGTGAATTCCTTGGCAGGGAGAACCTTGTTCATGTCTCTGCACGCTTCCTGTGCCAGTCCTGTGGCTCACTTAGAGCATCATCAGGCACTTCAGGCCTTGGGTGCCTCGCAGCTCAAGGGTGGTCCCCAGGCAGCAGCCGCCGGCCATCACCTGGGAGCTCATTAGGTATCAGCCCCCACCTAATGTATCAAATCAGAATCTGCTTTTGTTTTTTTCCAAATGATATTTTTGCTTTAATGGGGTTTAGATGTTCATAGGTGAGAGTTTTAAATGATTATCAAGCTGATTCCATACTCTACTGTTGTAAGTGGAACTGCTGAGACCTGCAAGTTCCGCATGGACTAGCAGAGGAGCTGCTTTAGCACAGCACTGCACAAGCTCATTCACCAGTGAACATTTCTAGGAGCCTGTGTCATTTCATCATCAGGCCAGCCACTGCGGCTCACACTGTAATCCCAACACTTTGGGAGGCTGAGGCAGGCAGATCACTTGAGGTCAGGAGTTCAAGACCAGCCTGGCCAATATAGTGAAACCCCATCTCTACTGAAAATACAAAAATTAGCCAGTCGTGGTGGTGTACACTTGTAATCCTAGCTACTCGGGAGCCTGAGACATGAGAATCGCTTCAACCTGGGCGGTAGAGGTTGCAGTGAGCTGAGATGGCACCACTGCACTCCAGCCTGGGCAACAGAATGAGACCCTTTCTCAAAAAAACCACACAAGTATTTATTTGACTTCAGCTATATGCCAGGCATGTAGATGAAACGTCTGGGACAACCTGTCCCTTGACAAGCAGATGTAATTCCTTGACTGAGGCTGGTAGGTCCTTAAGACCTGAATAATTGAGTTGGCAGAAACCTGTGTGCCTTCAAGTAAATGGAGAGTGGGGTTTGGGCTAGCAACAAAGCATCTAGAAGGTGCCTTTGGCCTTACTCCTTACCTCCTGGAAGGGCGTGGTAAAGTGCTGTTGTTTTCTGGTTTGTTTGTTGTTACTCACTTGGGTGCCAGCGATCTACTCCAAATAAGCAAATCCTTTTTCACAAAAGCATATAAGGTGGCTTATGGTTCCAAGTACAACAGGTAACAGAGCACAAGTAGGTGAGAAAGTGAAAGGAAGAACTGAAGTTACAGGAGCCACAGAATAACCAGGAATGGGTAAGCGGGTAGTTTGGTGCTGATGTTATCATCCCTTATTTGTACATTGCTTGTACAGTTGCTCTGAAAAGGTTAAGTCTTACATTTTAAAAAATGAAATCTCGCCGAGCATGGTGGCTTACGCCTTGAATCCCAGCACTTTGGGAGACTGAGGGAGGTGGATCACTTAAGGTCAGGGGTTCAAGACCAGCCTGACCTTTGTGATGAAACCCTGTCTCTACTAAAAATACAAAAATTAGCTGGGCATGGTGGCAGGACCTGTAATCCCAGCTACTCAGGAGGCGGAGGCTGCAGTGAGCCAAGATTGAGCCACTGCACCCTAGCCTGGGCAACAGAGTGAGACTCCATATAAAAAAAAAAAAAAGAAAGAAATCTACAATATACCAAAACCGTGACTTACCTTAGAAACTATTCTCAGGGTCATCATAGTGAATTTTATGGCCTTTGGTGGCATCAGGGCATTTGGGTCATTCACAAGAGTAGTGCCTGAGACCATGTGTG